TTTCGCTAAGGCAATGAGTGAAACGCGAAGGTCTATGACTTCACCGATTACAAGAACCCCTCAGAATGTCATGCCTAGCTCGATGGCCATTTCACTGACTAATACATCAGCGTCCTCAAAGGTTTACACCACATGAAATCCATAGTCTATTGATACCTTTCGTAGCATAGGATTAAATTGATATTTATGTTTTCCATTCGCTTTTTATACAGGGTGTTTCAGTTTCAGTCTATTGTTGCATTGTTGCAACTTTACGATTCGATAGAACTTTTAAAATTAATGCATAAAGTCTATATGAACATGTGTCGAAAAATGCGTGGCTTCCGAAATACAGAGTGTTTAGATTTACTTTCTAAAATAGTTTTTTTTAAATATTTCGAACAATATTTGATGTATAATAGTGAAAATTGGTATACAAGGGTATTTTGGTACGAAAAAACGAACCATGGGCATAGTTTTACTGTAGCCGCTAGAGGGCGTTCTCTACTGTACCTGTAGTGTATTAAAATGACCGAACAATTTTTTAAGTGCAGTTTTTTTGAATAAAAAACACTGATTCTTCGCACTTTTCAACATAAAAAAGCTCTCTTGTGAATTTTCGTTATAGTTAGCCATTTTTGAGATATTTCGATTTTCAAGGTTCGATGCATTTTTAATTATACATGATAAAATAACGCTAAAAAGTCAGTACCTCGATAATTTTTAGAAGTAGGATGTGCCCGCAAATATTTTTGAAATTGAAAGCAGAATAAGGTTAAACGTCAATTAGTTGACAGTTAGTTTTGTTGTCTGTTTAAACCTGAAACGTTTTAGATTTTGTATGTTTGTCCTAACTATCCAATAGCATTTTAGTTGTAAATAATTAATTTAAGTTGTTAAAAATAATATTGGAAAATTAAACAAATTAATATTCTGTTTTTTTGTGTTTATTTGGAGTTAGGAATTATTGCTGTGTTTAAAAACACAATCTAAACGATCATCTTAATTACTTGTAATGCCCAAATCGAAAATGTAAAAAAAAATATTATTTTCCCATAAATAATTAAAAACGCATCGAACCTTAAAAATCGAAATATCTCAAAAACGGCTAACTATAACGAAAACTCACAAGACAGCTTTTTAATGTTGAAAAGCGCGAACAATCAGTTTTTTTATTCAAAAAGCAAAAAGTTGCACTAAAAAAAATTTTTCGGTCATTTTAATAAACTACAGGTACAGTAGAGAGCGCCCTCTAGCGGGTACAGTAAAACTATGCCCATGGTTCATTTTGTCGTACCAAAAAACCGTTGTATACCAATTTTTACTGCTATACATCAAATATTGTTCGAAATATTTAAAAAAAAAGCTATTTTAGAAAGTAAATTTAAATACCCTGTATTTCGGAAGCCACGCATTTTTCGACCCATATTTATATAGACTTCATGCATTAATTTTAAAAGTTCTATCGAATCTTAAAGTTATGCAACAATAAACTGAAACACCCTGTATACCGTCACTACAATATACCGAAGATTACCAAATTACCAATCTATGCTCTATTCTTACAGCTGAAGCTCTAGCAATTTCCAAGGCACTTGACTGGTGCATAAAAAATCCAGTGAGTAAAGCAGTCATACTTACGATTACAGGACGGTTCTTCAGTCCTTTGCGAGCCATCCATTTAGACATTTTAGAAACGAAATCATCTTGAACATAAGGACTAAATTAGTACACCTCGAAAGACATAATAAAAAGGTTAATTCCTTTTGGATAAAAAGACATACCGGCATTGTCGGTAATGAGCACGCTGATTGAGCGGCTAAAAAGGCCCGCTCAATTGGCTTAAAGCTGGATTCCCCATGGAATCTAGGGGTAATTCCAATTTTAAAGCGCAGTCCGATAAACAAATGGAAGGCAACTTTTAAAAGGGCTGCAAGCTCCTCAAATAGTCATTACTACAAACTTCACCCAAAATTACCCAACAGTTTTTTTCATTTGCTCATTCTGAAGCTTACGTTTCCATGATCACGCGTATGAAAATCAATCATGCTGAGTTTCCGGTCCACCCAAATAAAATTGGTCTATTCGAATCTCGCTTCTGTCCGTGCATTGGATCTTCTATAGGAGATTTGAACCAAATCTTTTTTGAGTGTGCGAGGAATAGTGATGCATCATCTCGTCTAATGCCAAAATTAAATAATTTAGATATTTCGCTTCCCACCAATGTTGGCAAGCAACAAGTTCGTTCGATTTTTCCCATGATTTGGTGCCCAAAATAATCCATAATATATTCCACATTTCTGACGTATATTTATGAATGATACATTTTCATGTATCCAATTATGTTTTGCTGACGACGTGAAAATTTATTCGTGAAACATTGTTAATTATAGTAGAAAAAAGACATCAACATTTTTAACTATAATATTGAAGGTGCGTAGATGTGGGACAATCCGAAATTTGGGTGTTCCTTATGACCAAAGACTAACATTGGCGCCCCATATCGCTCGAAAAGCTTCAGAAGCGCTTAAGTCATAGGGTTTCCTTGTCAGGAATTGTGGGCAACTTCACGACATAAGGGCTTTGAAGCATGTGTGCTTAGCAAACTTGAATATGCAAGTATTGTATCGAGCCTGTATTACCAAATTTATATAAACGAAATTGAAAAGGTTCAAAGAAGGTTCCTTAAATGTCTTTATATGAAGTCTGAGGGAGCTTATCCTGAGTAAGGAGTTAGCCATACAGATCTGTGTGGACATTTTGAAATTCTAAGCTAATAATTCAGAAGACTGGTTTCATCTGCAATAATTCTTTTCAAATTATTGCATGGCATGGTCGATTACCCAGATATTCAAGCGAAAACTAATATCAATGCACCTCCGTTTTCTTCGCTTAATTATGTCACTTATAAACCATCTAGAGCAAGGACCAACGTTTTGGTCAAGTCACCTGTGTATGTTATGTGTAAAGATCCCAAAAGAGCTGGCTGTCATTGCGACATCTTTATATGGTCTCTTAATGTAGTAGGATGGATTCTCAATACTTAAGTTGATTATTTCTTTTCAAACTCTGTCGTAAACTAGTAACTTATTTTGTTTATGTAATTGTGCTGTAAATAGATAGCTGTTGGACAATAAATGACATCATCAATATTATTTATGACCTCGTGTAAGAAAAATCATCCATCCAACACATTCATCTCAATTGAATCCTTGTAACTGTTCCTTATGTTAAAGCTATTATTCAAGCTAGACTTCGTATCATTTCTCAGTGTTTCTAGACATGGATGATATAAAGAAGAAAATCCTCCAAGAAAGTCTTAGATCAACTGCTCAAAAATAGTTTTTTGCAAATTTAATGGTTTTGTTTATCTATGTTCACAAAAGGTATGCTGACGGTGTCGAGAGAAAAGTAAGGAAAAAAGACGCAGCAGTTCTTCGATTTGCGCCTATTGTCATTCGACAATTAAGAAATTCCTGAAAAAATGCATACAACCGTTTTTCAAAAAAATTTGAATCCCTACTACAAAGGATGGTCTCTCGATTCTTAGATCATTAGAACATATCATGCACATACCGTAACCCCTAAATTTATCGTAACCTATCGATTATACTGCAAACTTTTGTAGAAGCAAAATGATCAAGAATTTAATTACCTATAAAATCGTTTGAAAGACTTTTTTGCATAGGATCGATAGTTTACGAGACATTCGCTTAAACGCGTTTATAAAAATGGCAAACATAGGATGACGCCAATTTGCACTTATCAGCAGGAAACAATAATCTAACGATACCATCAAAAAAGTTTACTGCCGCCCAAAATGTAAGAAAAACTACCTATTTCCTGGCCTATTGGGGCGAGGGGCGTATAGCGGGACTGCGAAACATGCGAAAATCCGAAGTAGCAGATGCAAGCGGTGCGTAACTTGGAGTGTAACTTCTTGTAGAGGTTGCCTTTGGTAGGCTAGCACACATGCATGACCGTCGTGAAGGCAGGAAAAATCTCGAAATGCATCATCGGCATGGAAATTTAATGAAATAAAAGAAACTTATCAACACCCAGGTTGCCAGTTGCATTCTCATACAGAAGTGGGATACTAGCGCTCCTAGTGGCCATTCCACACAGCCAACCAAACTGCCCGCCGTTTCTGTTTTATGTTGAGTTATTAATTAATTATTCATCTAACAGATTGATTCATGGATATTATCAGAATCCATGTAAACGATGCACAGAAATAATCCTGTTATTGTGCATCGCTGGCCTGCTCAATTAGTCAGATAATATTGATGCGCGATTACCGATAACCCCGATATTATTTGGCTCGAGGGAAGCTACAGGTGGGAGAGTGATCTAGCTATTATCCGCTATTTTTAGAAGCATTGGAGGGGTTATTAGTTAGTTACGAAGTCGGTATTTGTACATGACGTCCACTCATAGGTAGCAGCCATAGAAAATGCAATAAGGATCATCCAAAGAGCTTTTAGATAATCTTCTAGGTGCGTACGTGTAAGACCTAAGGCGCAGGGCAAAGCGATGCGATGCCGAGCCGAGCGAAATCTGCCCGCGTTCGCACTGAAGCCGATTCGCTCTCAGTAGGTTTTCTAGCCTTGTAGTGGGATGTTCCTCCACTCAGTTCAAGTTGGACCGGTCTCATAGTCAGTTGAAATTATTCAGTGCAATAGTGTCAGCCACTTTGATGATGATGTTACTAGATAGTTCCGCACTAGATGAACGTGTGGGAGAAAGAAGGCGATACTGGACTCGCAATATCAATAAAGGTCACGGGACTAGTGGTCAGTTCGTAACTCTATACCAGAAACTTCGAGAAGACGTAGAAAGGTTTTGGAGATATTTTAGAATGAGTAGCGATACATTTGATTATATACTGGAATCAATTTGTCCACGAATCCTCAAAAGAAGCACGAACTACAGAAGAGCTATTCCATGTGAAGAAAGGCTGATGGTAACTATTCGGTAAGTGACCAAGATTCTAAACATACTGTTAATAACTTTTAGCTTCATTTTTTCTTTATCTACAAGTGTAAAAGGGTGTAAAAAGAATACACAATTCAATACAATTCGGATATACTACAAGTATATTTAATCTATATTCTATCATCGTTGAGGCTAGAAAGTAAAGTTGAAGCGTCCCCTGGATTGGTCAGTGTAGACGTTGGTAATACGTAGTCAGTATAATTTATAGGTTGCAGACTGGCATTATTGGGTTTTTGGTTCTTATCAATTTCATTCATTACAATTTCCGTAATTTTGTATCTCAGGAGCATTTGTGAAATTATACTGAGTCTGTTTATGGGGTCTTTGAGGCTTATCAGAAAATGATAAGTTGTATCTTTCTCGTCATCTTTTTGTGCCATTGATTTCATGATGTCCAGTTTTTCTTTTTCAATATGCAGCCTTTCACCTTCTTCTGCTGCAGTGACTTTGCGTTTTCGACCTACACTTGAACCTAAAGAACTAGACGGTGCAGAACATATAGAGACATCAGTTGGCGATTGTGGGCAACTCATCACCCCTCCATCAATAGACTCTGTTTCACGCTGAGACTCTTCATGAGTCAAATACGAGCAGTCACTTCTCAAGTTTCCTTCCATACTTCTAGAAGATAGGCTTCCTCGTAAAAATTTCATGTGTTTGAACCATTTCCATTGGGGCTTGCATGGTGAGCCTTGGGCGTCCCAAGATTTTGGTTTACATTCTTTCTTTAATTCATTCCGAAAACTGTCCCACAAACGTTTTCATTTTTTCTTTGCTATAATATCTGCAACAAACGAAAAATAATATTGTTGAAAATTGTATTATTGTTCACAATAGACATTAAAAATTATATTAGAGTTGTTGAGTAGCACATTTGTTCTAATACAGAAATTGTTTTCAGCTATCTATCGTCAGGATTATCCTGTGGAGCCATCAGTGATGCTTCAAAATTGGAACCTCAACGGTTGACTACATTATTACAGAAGTTTGCACAGCAATTTGGGACAAGTTGGCATTGATACACATGCCGGAGCCTACAACTAATTTGCTTCTACGATCATATACTTGCAAAAGTGCAATTTCCCCAACTACTTGGGGGCTATAGACGGGAAGCATATTCGTGTGAAATGCCCTGCTAATTCAGGAAATATGTACTACAGGATAATTATAAAGGGTACTATTCAATCGTTCTGCAAGCACTTGCTGATGCACAATACAAATTGTCCCTTTGTGGTTATCGGAGATGAAGCTTACCCTTAGAATTATGAGACCTTTCCCGAGGAGGGAATTGGACGACTTGAAACGAACATTCAATGAACGCTGGTCAAGAGCTAGAAGAGTTGTCGAAAGTTCGTTTGGAACTTTGGCGACTAAATGGAGGTTACTCCAAAAACCAATTGAAACAACCTCTGATTTAGCTGACAAAAATGTAAGATGTATGTGCGTGTTGCATAACATTGTTATCGACGAAGACGGAATGGGCGAATTGATCCTCCACGAGATAGACCAACAATCGTCCAATTTCGGTGAAACTGAACAACTGTCTCCAACTGTAAACACACGTTCTACAAGACGTGCACTGACAACGCGACTGTCATTTGCGCAATATTTTTCAAATCATCCATTGTAGATTTCGATTGTAGATGGAGATTTTGATGTCACTACGATTAAATTTATATAAAAATATATATTAGGTACCTACCTGTTGTGTTGCATTCAGCAGCTACTTCCTTTCATAGATTTATTGGAATATCCCTATCCATGCACTTTTTATTGGACTGATCCCACAACGAAGGTCTTTCCTGAATTAGTAGTTCAACATCAACACACATTTTTGTTTATTTTTTGAGGTGACAATATGTAGAACAAAAATCACTTGACGTGTTTTAACTTATTGGAACGCCGAACTAGACTGGAAGGACGCCGAATCCGCTTAGCCGAAAACGCTCGAATTGACGGTACATAGCAGTGCTCAAATCGGCTCGGCCTCGCCCGGCCTCGTTCGGCGCGGTCCGGCGTTCTGTTTGGAAGCTCTCATTCAAACCCTGCATATTTAGCGTTTAAGCGATTTCCGTCCGGCTCGGTTCGGCTTAGGTGAGAATCCCCACTAAGTCTACCAGGTAACATTTTCAATATTTTAATATTATTGTTTGTTGGCTAACGGTCAAATATAACTAAGTGAAATCAACGTATGTTTATCCGATTTCAATAACTTTTGGCATATATGTTCAGTGTCCGTTACTAGCAAAATGATTAAATTTTCAGCTTGATTCGTCAACTGACTGCAGAAGCTGGCTCAATAATGTGTTGAGGATCCAGGATTTCTTGTACACTCATTGACTCGCCTGGGCATCGTGCTGATAAGGTGGTCGATATCCTGATGGGGTATCTCAATCCAGGCTACTGCAACTTTGTGAGTTAGAGGTGGTAAGGTCTGAGGAGGGTGTTGCAAGCTCAAGACCCTTCGACCTAGCATGTCCCAGACATCTTCAGTTGGAGATAGGTCGGGCGATGGTGGTGGCCAAGGTAAAGTTCTGGCATTGTCTTGCTGAAAAACGGGGTTTTGGATGGTGTTTAAGTATGGAATAAGATGAGGCTCCACTACTTCCTGAATGCAGCGTCGGGCTGTCGTGTGATCCTTGATGAAAATTAGTGGTGATCTGCTACCATAGGCAATAGCACCCCATACCATAACTCCCACGGTGTGGTGAACGCGACGCTCTCTGTCAAACTGTGGTTCACGTCTTTCACCACGTCACCTTGTCGCTCGACCATCGTGCATCCCCAGACAGAAGCGGGATACGTCACTAAATACCAGCTGATTCCATTCCCGGTCCGATAGTATTCCTTCTCTATACCAGAGAAAACGGTTACGCTGATGTTCAGCAGCAGTGAGAAGTAGCACCCAATGTGGGCGATAAGAAAGAAGGCCAAACTGTCGTATTCGGCGATATACCGTACGCATCCTTTCATGCTCTACAAACCACTGATTAGCGATGACTCGAATACTACCGAATCTGTCTCTCAGAGCCAAAAGTCTTAACCGGCGGTCTTGCCGCTTTGTGGTCCCTCTGGGACGTCCAGAAGCCCTCGGTCGCTGTCCTCGGATTTCTTGAGTCCACACTCGTTCACACTGCAGAATACTGCATAAGGATCTGTTGGTCCTCCTAGAAACTTCTCTTATCGATAGACCAGCTTCACGAAACTCGACAAGTCGACCTCTCTCAAAGTCACTTAGCTCTCTGCGCACTCTAAGCATTTTGAGCAATCACAAAAAGGCTTCTCAAAAAGCTAAACGAAATTTCATTTAAATGACACCGTAACTGTAGGGAAACTGAATGCTTCTTCGGAAACAATACACGCAGCCACCACGAAAACATAATAGAAAAACCGGACCATTTTTTCACTGGTTGTTCATGGGAAGATAAATCGATATCTACAAAATTCTCGAATTCTAATAAACATACATAAACTCTGGGCGCTGAAGAAAGACATTAAACGTAAACAGTGATCAGCACGTGAACAGATCCCTCGAAAGCATCCACGTATATACTCCAGTCACTTTAGGTCTAAACATCCTCGGCAGTGTATTTCTAGTGAATCCACAGACCCTTTTTCGTGTCATCTTGAGGCTAGAAAAAGGATGACTGTTAAAATAAGTTACCTTGATCTTTCATGAGCTCCCAGTACAAAACATCATCGATATATTTTTGATGTAGGAACAACAAATTGGTTTAGAAAACATCCACTTTGAACCTAAATTGACTGGAGTAACATCGATCTACAGACAAATTCAAGGTCACTAGCAGTCGTCGGCGCTCTACGAATCTGCACAGGTTTGGACTTGTAAACGTGATTGTAGATGACACGACAGGCATCTAACAGTTAATTCACGCACAGGATTGCATTGCATACGCATTACGCATTCAGTAGCGTATACTCGTTTTTCGCGAGTGGAACGTTTTGTTTATATATTGCCTAAGATACGATGTCTGACACAGATACAGCCGACGAAGTTTTTGACATCAGCGCAACCCCACCCAAAAAAAGGGCTAAGAAGCTACATTTAAGTGCAAATGAAAAACAAATAATATTAAATATATACAAAAACCAAATTCAAGAAAAACCCGATTTGGTCGTGGACGAAGTTATATGTAAGGTAGCACATATTTCTGGAGTATGTCGGTCCAGTGTTTATAGGACCATTAAGGAATATAGGAGCACTCACTCACTTTCTGAGCCAAAACCGTATCCTGCAAGAAAAAGGATAACGGACGGAGTAGATGACTTTGACAGAACTGCCATCAGGAGGAAAGTGCATAATTTTTTCTTCCGAAGTGAGATACCTACAGTAGATAAGATATTAAGATTAGTTAATGCTGATGAGGATCTTCCATCATTTAAAAGAACCACATTCCGAAAACTTTTGAAGGAACTTAATTTTCGATTCTTGAAACGGGGAAGAAACAGTATGTTAATAGAGAAAGAAGAAATTGTTGTGTGGAGAAGGGAATACCTTAGGAAGATTCGGAAGTTTCGCGATGAAAAAAGAAAAATTTACTATTTGGACGAAACGTGGGTGAATGCTGGACATACTCAAGCGAAAGTTTGGGTCGACAAATCAGTAACATCATCAAGGCAGGCTTTTCTAGACGGTCTTTCGGCTGGATTGAAAAATCCTGCAGGTAAGCTCCTTCATCTATCCGGCAATTTAATTTTGATAAATTCGGGCAAATAATATGCTGTGATAGCAGATAATGTGTGATATTCTCCAAAAATGGTGCATTCGCAGTGTAGTGATTAGGAAAAAAACTTCGACCCTCTTTTAAGCGTTATTTTGAAATTTATTATCATTTTTGGGTGCAGTCAATTTGCTTTGAATGGGTTTTGAGAAGTTGCAAACTTCAATTTTCTACGTTTTTCAGTTTTTGATCAGCATTCCGTGACTCTTAAATTTAGCTAAATGAACTCAATTGCCTCATTCCTTCAAATTTAATCAATCCATAGTGTAAGGAATAATTTATTTCCAGGAAAAGGCAAACGGCTGATCATTTGTCACGTAGGTAGTGAAGACGGCTTTGTTCCCGAAGCACTGTGGGCCTTTGAATCAAAAAAGACAGGGGACTATCATGAGGAGATGGACGGCAATTCCTTTGAAAATTGGTTCTCCAAAATATTACTAAAGTTGGAGAATAACGCTGTTATTGTACTGGATAATGCCCCGTACCATTCTAGAAAAATAGAAAAAATTCCCACAATGGCAACTAAAAAAGCAAACGTACAACAATGGCTGGCCTCAAAACAGATCGATTTTGATGAAACAATGGTCAAGGGTGAATTGATAAGTATAGTCAATAGACATAAATACAAATACGATTTTAAAATGATCGACGAAATGGCCAAAAAACAAAATAAAACTGTCATGAGACTGCCACCCTACCATTGTGAGCTGAACCCTATTGAGCTGATTTGGGCCAACATAAAGCAATACGTGGCGTCGAATAATAATACTTATAAATTTTCTGATGTTAAAAATCTCTTTCACATCGCAGTCAATAGAGTTACGGCAGAGGAATGGAAAAACTGTATCCGCCACGTTCGGGAGAAGGTTGAGGTCAAAATGTGGGATTTGGACCGCCACGTTCGGGAGAAGGTTGAGGTCAAAATGTGGGATTTGGACAATGTCATCGATACCCAAATTGAACCTCTAATAATTCATTTAAACGATTCAGAAGATTCAAGTTCCTCTTCTGAATGAGTGCGCGCAGCTTACTTACTAATAAC